CCCTTGAGACTTTCTTTAAAGTCCCATATAAGAAAATGATTTCAATTTAATTACAGCATTTCTTAACTTTGACAAACCCCTTCTTTTTTTTTTTTTTTTTTTTTTTTTTGGGACTATTAAATCCAAAGCAATAGTAAGACAGCGTAGAAACACCTAGATGAAAAAATAATGCAATTTACTCAAATCTATAATTCCAGAAACAGAGTTGACTTCATTTTTTTCTGTTGAGTAGGCCTAGTTTGATTATTGCACGCGCAAGAACTGATGAAATTGTTGTTCCATCACCAGCAGAATTATTTATTATTGAGTTACACATATTAGATGAATAAAATGGAAAGAGAGATCAACTACAATGTTTATGGTGTGAAAGTACTTTGGTAAGGGACAATATATATGGTGTGAAAGTATGTTGGCAAGGGCTAATAATCTAATCTCATATATATATATATATATATATATATATATATATATTCTTAAATTGAGGAATTTTTTATATAAAAAAACATGAAACATTAAATACAGGAGACATCTGAAAAATAAAGAAGGCTATGAGTTCCCTCACCAGAACGCAACACACAAAACAAAGAGACCCAAACGGATCCCTGAAACAACATAACACAGGGCCCACACAAGGCACATGCACAATGTACAAATAAACAAAAAAATCAACAACAGATGGAGCAGTGATACGTCACATGTTGAAGGCTTCTGTCCAATAAAACCAATTCTCAAAGACTGTACCAACAACTACTTTAGAGAAATACTAACTTAGTTACATACATTTGATTGAAAATTTAAACTATTTTAAAAATTAAAGGAGTGAGTGCCCTTTTAATCACACGATATCTACTTTATAAGATAAGCGAGTAAAGTTTAATTTTTCAACCAAACTTACGTAACTAAGTATTTTTCTAAAATTTGTATGATGGATGTATCGTACATTCATATTTCTAAATTCTTAAATTGTAGAAAGTTTAAGTAGAAGTATTAAAGGATGAATACAATCCAAATTTACTTTTTTAAGTATGGGATGGATATGAGCACTAATAATTGAAGTAGAAGTACAACGGTACAAATTAGTAGGGTCTAACAAAGAACTACTACTACAACAATTCATCATGATTAATGCTATAGTATGACCACACTACCACATTTGTCTGATGAATAATGCATTACAATTTACAAATCATTTAGCTCGCATCTTTAGATATTTGGCAGCTAGCAATATTTGTGATTGATAGATACATAGTGTGTTGTATATTCACTCTGTACAATAATAGCAATAATATTTTTGTTTGTTAATGAAAAATAGCCGACAAGGAGCATCTTTATGAAAACTGGAAATAACAATTCATTACATAATTTGCATGTGCATTCTGAATGGTACTAATTTGGTCAGGACCATCTTTATGATACTTATGTATCCATCTAGATTAAATGTGTTATAGCTACAAATTAATTAATTTTTCTTGCTATAATATTTAATCTTGGATTGTTGTTATTGGATTTGATTATGCATGGTCAAATTATTGCCCTCCAATCTACATCTTACATAGCTATAGAAAAGTCATAACTACTATAAATGATAAAATAAAAAATAAAAAAAAATAAAAATGGCATAAGAGATTAAGGTGGTTTGAAACAGGACTCAGCCAATTTTGAGTCTTCATTATTATTTCTTAAAATTACTTTAGAATTTACAGGATGAATGGTCAAATCATCGTTATTTTTTTTTGTATATATATCGTATGACTCAAATCTATATATTGTACTATCCATAAGTGATTTGGCATCCAATGTTAATTTGACTTCGTCTTCCAAATATCAGTGCTTTACCAAATAATTATTCAACCCAGTCGAAAGCAGCCAAACTGAAAGCTCATTGAATTAGTCCTTGACTTTCTTAAAGGAAAATGTACATGCATCATCACCAAACAAAATCACTAAAAAGGAAAATACATAATAATCTTTAAAAAGACTAAATTATTATTTCAAATTAATTTAAAAGACTAATTTACCTCTGCAGCATTTTGTTAAATCATTATTTCAGAATGTAAAATTGAGAGTAGTTTTAAGGGCAAAATTGTCATTAGAGTAAGTAAGACAACACATACCTAATTACTTCAAATATTCAAAGACAGACCTAATTTCTTTGCTTTAGAGAAAGAAAGAGGCGACACTCAAAAGTGAGTTGGCACTTGGTAGTAGGCTTTATCTACAAAAATAGTAATCAGTTAGCTCACACAACTTAGGTGAAGCAAATGAAGCTGTACGTGTGCAACAACTAGTACTATAGATAGTTACATATTTAGAAAATTGATTTGATAGACAACAACCTGATTCACACACATTGATTCAATGCCTCTAACCAGCTCATGCACTACTTCGAGCTCTATAAATATACACATCCATTTACGATCAAAAATAGTAACCAGTTAGCTTACACAACTTAGGTGAAGCAGATTCACACGCATTGATTCAATGCCTCTAACCAGCTCATGCACTTCTTCTAGCTCTATAAATACACATCCATTTACGTTCAATGACAGTATCTCTCTTAAACAAAAGTCTCAAACACATACTTAACTATGGTGTTGTTCTCTAAAATTGGCATTGTTGGAGCTGGCATAAGCGGTATTTCTGCCGCTAAACAGCTGGCCGAAAGCAGAATATTTCTAGACCCCTCCAAGGCAGTCAGTGGTAGTGGTGTTTGAGGCCACTGCATTTGAGGGTCTGGAAACATTCTTCTTTCAAGTCCACCTAGCTTCAGATCCCTCGTTGTGATTATAAGTTTTCGGATTATCCTTGTCCTAATAGGGATAATTCGAGTTTTCCATCTAATTTAGAGATATTGGATTACTTATTAAAAATTGATTTGATATGGGTTAAAAAGGGGCTAATACTACTATTAAATTTTTTTTTTTTTTTAAAATTAGGCTGAAAATACAATACTAAATTTTTTTTTTTTTTGGGGGCTCAAACCCACCCAAGCCCTCCTCTGTGTCCGCCTGTGATTGTATGTGTGTATCAGTGGGTATATGTGTGTGAAACAGTGAGTGTATACATGCTTTTTTTGAATAAGGGTTTCATTACACAAAGATGTAATGAAATGTAAGGATTTCAAGTTCAACTCATTGTTGTGTACACAACATCGTTTGCATTCCTTGCATGCCACAGTCAGCAAAGTTGCATATTCTCCCGGCTTACCACCAAGATCGGTGGTTTCACAATCACCAACAAACGGGATTTCTACCACCTTTGAGTTGAACTTGACAAACTTGAGCAAATCAAAGTAGCTAGCATAAGAATATAAGTAATCCAATATCTCTAAATTAGATGGAAAACTCGAATTATCCCTATTAGGACAAGGATAATCCGAAAACTCATAATCACAAGAAGGGGTCTGAAGGTTAGTGGACTTGGAAGAAGAATGTTTCTAGACCCTCCAAGGCAGTGGCCTCAAACACCACTACCACTTACTGCCTTGGAGGGGTCTGGAAATATTCTTCTTTCGGCCAGCTGTTTAGCAACAGAAATACCGCTTATGCCAGCTCCAACAATGCCAATTTTAGAGAACAACACCATAGTCGAGTATGTGTTTGAGACTTTTGTTTAAGAGAGATATTGTCTTTGAACGTAAATGGATGTGTATTTATACAGCTAGAAGTAGGGCATGAGCTGGTTGGAGGCATTGAATCAATGCGTGTGAATCTGCTTCACCTAAGTTGTGTGAACTAACTGATTACTATTTTTGAACGTAAATGGATGTGTATTTATAGAGCTAGAAGTAGTGCATGAGCTGGTTAGAGGCATTGAATCATTGCGTGTGAATCTGGTTGTTATTTATCAAATCAATTTTCTAAATATATAACTATCTATAGTCTTAGCAGTTTGCACACATACAACATCTTCTTCACCTAAGTTGTGTGAGTTAACTGCCAAGTGTCAACTCACTTTTAAGTGTCACCTCTTTCTTTCTCTAAAGTGAAAGAAATTTCTAAGTTGTGTGAGTTAACTGACAAGTGCCAACTCACTTTTTAAGTGTCAGCTCTTTCTTTTTCTAAAGTGAATATATATATATATATATATAGTATTGATCTCTTACTTCCCGTAGAGTAAAGAATTTTTTCCGCACTTTCTATAGTGACCATTAGATTAGATCTAATGGTCACATTCCAAACCCACCTATATGCTTTTCTCTTAACACAAAACCACTACCACTATTTATTATTTTCAAATTTTTCAACACTTTCCTTTTAATACAAAACCACTACCACTCTTCACTTCTGCAAAATCACGTCTCACCACTAATAGGATTTTGTTTTCTTTGAAAAAAAAGAATTATAAGTGTTAAAAAATTATTGTATACCTCCCTAAATGCATCCTATTTAAAAATTAGAAATTCAATTTATTTTTCTCAGACCCCTTTGTCACAAATTGTCTCATCTTCCTTCTTATTCTTATTCTTCTTCTTCTTCTTATTATTTTTCAGATTTTAACTAATTGTAAACACATTTCAATTACTCATCAATATCATAATAACTCGCACAATATCCTATTTCTAGTTCTACTATAATAACAAAAATTTATTGACGTAATAAGGAGATTGATTACCAAACATACTATTATTCTATTAAATTTCATATTTCCTTTGTAAATTAGTTTTTTTTCTTAGTGTTTTCTTTAATATTGCTATTATTATAGCATCATTACTATTATTTTTCATTATCATCAAAAATTAATTTTTTTTTAATCATTATGAAGTGATAGATGCAATTTTCTAATATATATATATATATATATTTTCAAAGAAAACAAAAATTCGAATTAGTGGTGGTGATACGTGATTTTCAAAGATGAACAAATTTTTATTTTTATTTTTTTGGTACTTACCTTTTATTATTGTAATTAGTGGTAGTGGTAAATATTAAATTTGGAAATTATAAATAGTGATAGTGGCTCTTTATTAAAAGGAAAATATATAGGTGGGTTTGGAACTTTGATCTCTTGTTTCGGAGAAATAAGTGGCTCACGAGGAATGGAAAGAAACATATTCTATTTGATCTCGAAGTCCTCATATAGCACTTCTGTAAATCCTGGATGGGGGATCGCTTGTAGGAATGACATAATGCTAATCCATGTTCCACACGGCCAAGGAAGCATCGTTTTTTAATCTCATTATGACTTGGTCGTCCGGAAGAGATTCTTTCTCCTCGATCAGAATAGTGTCATGGAAGGCACTACAAGAAAGATATACTCCTTTTCAAATCGCCGAAGACGGACGTTCAGAAAGGTTCTCGAGATTCTCCATTTCTCTAAAGCAAGCAAGCATACCAATACTGAGTAGGTAAAGGATGATGAATATGGAGTTCCCACAGGGGAGGAATAGTGCGGGAAGGTCACGATACCAAGCCTAGCCACTAGGAGAGTCCGCCCTTCCCACGTGTCAAGTTTCATAAATGAATGCAGCCTCAACCAGAGAGATCAACCTGCGCCTTTCTTTTAGGCCGCCGGCGGCGCAGAACGAACTAATCCTAGACCAGCAAGTTTTCCGAAACCGAACTGAATGGAATTGTTACTTTCCTAAAATGCTTGCTGAAAATCAAAGAAAGAAGGCCCATTTTCCCACGTAGTTCGTCGGTCAAACCAACGATTCTCTTCTCAAAGTAATAGAGAGCTCTTTTTCTAGTTAGACTTCTATCAATGCAATGAAAGAACCATCCCTTCCTATTTCTTTTTCCTGTCAGATAGAAAGAAAATCCCCCAAGAGCCCTTCTTTACCACTTTAGGGGGTGAAAGGGGGGTTTACATACAACCGAGAGGCAAAGTGGTTGATGATTGAATCTCAGAGGCATTATTCTCATTTGGTAGATCCAAGTCCATGGCCTCTTTCGGGTTCACTCGGAGCTTTGGCAACCACCGTAGGAGGTGTGATGTACATGCACCCATTTCAAGGGGGTGCAACACTTCTCAGTTTGGGCCTCATATTTCTCCTATATACCATGTTCGTATGGTGGCGCGATGTTCTACGTGAATCCACGTTGGAAGGATATCATACCAAAGTCGTACAATTAGGACTTCGATATGGTTTTCTTCTGTTTATCGTATCAGAGGTTATGTTCCTTTTTGCTCTTTTTCGGGCTTCTTCTCATTCTTCTTTGGCACCTACGGTAGAGATCGGAGGTATTTGGCCCCCAAAAGGTATTTGGGTTTTAGATCCTTGGGAAATCCCTTTTCTTAATACCCTTATTCCCTCTTCATCCGGAGCTGCCGTAACTTGGGCTCATCATGCTATACTCGCGGGGAAGGAAAAACGAGCAGTTTATGCTTTAGTAGCTACCGTTTCACTGGCTCTAGTATTCACTGGCTTTCAAGGAATGGAATATTATCAAGCACCCTCCACTATTTCGGATGGTATTTATGGTTCTACCTTTTCCTTAGCAACCGGCTTTCATGGTTTTCATGTGATTATAGGTACTCTTTTCTCGATTGTATGTGGTATTCGCCAATATCTTGGTCATCTGACCAAGGAGCATCACGTTGGCTTTGAAGCAGCTGCATGGTACTGGCATTTTGTAGACGTGGTTCGGTTATTCCCATTTGTCTCTATCTATTGGTGGGGAGGTATATGAAGGAACGAATCAGTGGATTGAGGAATGAAAGCTCGAAGACAAAGAGAACCGGGATTTTCCAAAGAATAACTGCTGCTTTTCTACTCCCTTTTCTTATAATATACAAAAAACTCTATTCCACTTTCCTACCAAATCTCTCTTTATTCTGGCACATAAATGAAAGGATCGAAGAGATTATGGCAGATCATGTTCACCAAGAAATGACCCGAAATTGGATCTTGGTCTATTTGAGATTGTTCCTTTTAATCGTAATCAAAGATGTTTTCTTGTCTCTCGTTTCTTTTCTGAACAAATCGAAGAACCTAATGGATCGAACTTGAACTCCGGGTGACTTTACAGAGGAACCCCGGGCGGCAAAGCGGTTGGTGGATCCAACCACAGGAAAAATAGGGTTTCGCTAAATAAACGCAGAAATTCAAAAATGATTCAAAAACCTCTGGGGCTTTTTGAAGCTACAAGCGAGGGATCGACAAGATTCTTCGAAAGCGAAGCTTCCCTCGGTATCGGACGTGAATTTCATATGTGGATCATCCCCCATCTTGCTGAGGGAATATAGCAGTTTCGCATCCTTCCTTGCCTATACTCGTCTGCAAAGGATCAGACTCATAGGACCACTACTTCTTCATATTCATGGCATGCCCTATTTTGTGATCTTTTGGTGCATTGAAACTAATGCTGTGTGAATCCGACCGAGTGAGTGGCTAAAATGGGTCCAATTTCGACTAAATGAAGTAAAAGAACGTGCTTTCGAAACATGGAACCAAGGGGCCCTCTTCGGTATCCCCAAAAGAGGAACGACCCTTTTATTGGCTCGTGGAACAACTCAAAGGGGAGATCAAGTGATGCAGGCATAAGGGGTGAATTCGGAGCGAAAGGAACCTTCAGGTGCTTGTTGCATCTCAATCTTCTTATTTGATCTTTACTTTACAAGTCAATCCTTTCACAACTTGGAGAGGAGGCTATTTCTCAAGGGAAACTTTCGGAAGAAATCCAATATTTCTCCATTGCTGTAGTTGTAAGTTCTTCCTTTCTTCCTTAATCATAAAGGATTTTAGACTACCCCGGTTGCCGACTCCCCGGCGAGCTTTTCGTCTCTCTTAGCTGGGCGCTCTATTGGTCGCGGAGGTTCCTCGAGCTACGATCTTACTTTTGACAGATGGACAAAACTCCTCTTTCTATAAGAAATTAGAAGTTGGTGGGATCACGTAAACTTAGGATCTTAGGGGTCTATTCTTATCTATTATCTACTCCAGGCAAGTGATAGGCGAACTGGTTATCAAGCACTTCCCAACCCAATATTCCATTTGATAGTTCTTTTGAATACGTAAAATCTTTGTTTGATCCTGGCTCAGGAGGATGACTTCCATGCGTCAACCCTCTTTTGACTACTATATTTGCCCATTAAAGGCTGCTGCTGAACTGAAGAACCAAGGAACCTTGTTGAACAGTTAGCGGATCCCAGGATAGTCTTGCCGCCCATGCCACCCCATCTTTTCCGGTTATCTTAGCTAGAAGAGTGTCACCAATTACGCATCCCCTTGGAGTGATTTATGGAATGTCAGTCTTTCTCAGAGCATGGGAGAATAATAGTTTAAAAGAAAGTACATCGTAATGGGTATTAATACACCATACGGATAAGGGCAAGGGAGCTTTTGCCCCAAAGACTCCTCTTCAGGAGAGATGAAAGCGAGGTTATGCTCCAGAGAAGGCAGCAGGTTTAGATAAGGGATCCGCAACTGTCTTGGAATTGAACCCAATGTCCGCTACTCCGATCATATAAGAGAAGGTGAGGAAGCTAAACAAAAGGAATCAATGCTTGGTAGGCTAAGGACGTTGAAGTACTTTCTTACTTAGTGTGATCCTGCGGGAGGGAAGAGAAAGAAGCAAAGATAGGGGAACACCTTACATAGGGCTATAACGTTGCTTCACGCTACAGGAGATGGTCATATGAGCTGTTTTGCTTTAGTGCTAGAAGAGGTTGAGTTGCTTAATTTATGGGCAGAGGAGGGAAAGGGGTTGGCTTGTTAGAGAGGTCACTTGCTGAGGCATTCCTGTGGGAAGATGGCTCAAGAGGAAGATGCATTCGGCATGCTATTTAGGGTAAGTAACCAAGGAAGGATGAGCTATCCGGGAATTTTCTATCAATGCTTGATGATGGCTGCTTTCTTGTTTTGGGTTTCTCCCCGCACATGAAACTAGTGCTTTTCTGTCTCTTCCCTTTACACCCTTTTCTATTTATTGGTTTTCTTCACCACTGCTCTGACTTCTTCACATTCCGTCCCTCTATTCCCGTTCCATCTGAGCGCGAGTCCTTTCCTGAGTCATAACGGGGAATATCCCACACCTTCTCTCTGACTATAACCCTTTGCCACCAAACGTGCTTTGTACCTTGCATCTTCAACACCTGGAGTTCCTTCATTTTTCTTGAAGACCCATTTGCAACCAACAATCTTCTGGCCTTTAGGAGGTTTCACTAGCTCCCATGTCTGATTCTTGTGAAGAGATTCAATCTCCTCATTCATAGCAACAGTCCACTTGGCAGATTCATTTCCTGTAACAGCTTCTTGGTAGGTGGAAGGCTCTTTATCTTCAATATTTTCTGCCACAGACAAAGCATAAGCAACTAAATCTGCATAAGCATACCTCTGAGGAGGTTTAATCTGCCTTTTCTGTCTCCCTGTAGCAATACTGTACTGTTGCTCATCTGATACTTGATCATCCTGCACCTCTTCAACATTTGGCTGAACTGGAGTGTTGACTTGTTTCCCTGGAGCTTCAAAGTCATGCTCCACCTGCTGCTTAACACCCTGAGATTCACCTGTAACAAAAGACTCCTTTCTCGGGTGAAGTAAAGCAAACTCATCAAAAGTAACATCTCTGCTGGTAATAAACTTAGGTGACTTAGGATCAGGACACCACAACCTGTATCCCTTCACCCCGGATGCATAGCCAATAAAAATACATTTCTTGGCTCTAGGCTCAAGTTTTCCTTCATTAACATAAGCATAAGCAGGACATCCAAAAACTCTTAAATTAGAATAATCAGCAGGAGTACCAGACCATACCTCTTTCAGGTGTTTTGCACTCAATAACAGTCGATGGTGACCTGTTCACCAAATAGCAAGCTGTGTTGACTGCTTCAGCCCAAAATCCCTTGGACAACCCAGCATTGAAAAGCATACAACGAGCTCTTTCCAAGAGAGTTCTATTCATGCGTTCTGCTACACCATTCTGTTGTGGAGTCTTTCGAACTGTATGGTGTCTGACAATGCCTTCATTACTGCAGAACTCGTCAAACTCTTCTGAGCAAAATTCTAAACCATTATCTGTTCTGAGACGCTTGATCTTCTTTCCGCTCTGCTTTTCAATCATGGCCTTCCACTGCTTAAACTTAAGGAACACTTCATGTTTTTGCTTCAAGATATAGATCCAGACTCTCCTGGAGAAGTCATCAATGAAAGTCAACATATATCGAGAACCACCAAGAGAGGGAACTCTGGAAGGACCCCAAAGATCTGAATGAATATAATCAACAGTGCCCTTGGTCCTGTGAACAGCTGTACTGAACTTGAGTCTTTTCTGCTTGCCAAAGACACAATGCTCGCAAAAGTCCAGTTTTCCCGTCTTCTGTCCACCTAGCAAACCTCGTTTGCTCAATTCTGTCAAACCCCTCTCACTCATATGCCCTAAACGCATATGCCATAGATGGGTAGTTTTGAATTCTTTCTAAAAACCCGTGTTTTTGGCCTCAACCTCAATTTCCCTCTGAGACCTAGTCTCTTTTTTCAAAAGTGTGATCTCATATATACGGAAAATGAGTCAAATTCTCTTACATAATGCAATTCCTAATATCTTCTTTTGTTTGCCCGGTCCGGTTCACCAGGTTTGACCACTACAGTTCGGAATCCTAGTTTCATCATCTTTTTACTAGGGTTCGCTCCAAGCTTGGAAGTCAATAGAAAGAGAGTTAGAGACCCACCTGGAAGAACGGACTTAGGGTTCCCCTCATTGCTTTTCGTGTAGTATGACCTGGTTGCTTATGGAAAAACTCTGTTTGGGGGTTCGTAAGGGGAATGACCCAAAAGATTGATTGACGGCGGTTTGTGACTAAAGAACATGGCCTACTAATATTTCTCTTCTTGAATGGGTTAACCTTCTCGATAGAAGATACACGGATACCTACTCCGACTCACACACGTATTGGAAGAGGATTCATATGTCACATCATTCTCACTTCGTTTCGCCTATGATCAATGCGGAGGTTTTGCTCTATTTCAACCTGGTCAAAGAAGCGAAGTTATGGAATTGAACAGATGATCTCCTTCAACTGGCTGGGACCACCCTTTCTATCTTATTAGTAAAGCGCTAACGAGCAAGAATTTGGGAAGTGGACTGACAAGAGTTTTTTTGGAGTTTGATCGTTCGCTCCGATCTACGAAAGTGATGGAGTTTGCTGTAAATAGCCAGTCAGAAATGACAGAGGTGCTCCTTTTCACCTGATGGTGATTTGATCTGATCTCCTCTTGTAGAAGGGCCAACTCGTGTTGGGGCGGAACCCCAGATTACTCGTTGCTTAGTGGGGAGTCTGCGTCCGATCGATCCACCACGATCACCGGACACCTTTCGACTTGATACGCGCTTGCTGTTTGCTTTCACCTTCTTTAACCCTAAACTCTAAATGGAAAGAGATTGACAGCCCCAGATTCAAGGATAAAACAAGGTTCAACATGCGTGTGTTAAACATATAGCTAGCGCTCCTTCTGAGCCGGGATCAAAATCTCGTATAAGATAAGAGAGATTTGCATTTCTATTCACCACAGGTTCTTTTTCTTTTTTCTTTATTTAATGGCTTGCAGTCGATCCTCAACATTTCTATTCTATGCGCATGATCGTGACCTTTAAGCCACTAGATACCTCTCTCTCGGGTGTTTTCCTATCGCTACCCCAATCAGAGGTTTAAAGCCCTAAATAAGGTCATAGAGACCACCAAGCAAATTCAACCCTTCCAATGTATCGACCCCTGCCCTACCCTTCTGTTTCAGCTTTTTCTTTCGCTGGACAAGCGAGCGCAACCTACTTAGAACGGGCGGCTCACTATCGATTATCACAAAGCTTAGGTGGGGTTCGGGTTGGC